TGGCCTGGTAAGGCGCAGGGGGGGGGGGGGGGGCACTCGATCACTCCCCTTTCCTGCCCTGCCAGTGCTCGGATCAAGGGTCTGGTAGGAATGTTAGGCGGGACCCCACGTTTTTTTTCTCCTTTTTGGGGGGCTGGGGTTCCCCCTTAAAATTTCCACCAGACCTAAAGGGCCTAGTATGGATTTTTTGGGGAACCCCACGCACTTTTTTTTTCCTCTTCTACTTACTAAAAAAAAAGATTTTATTTTTTTTTCTTAATGTCATTTTGCTGCAACGAAATTTCATCCAGACTACAGCTACCGAATTTTAGCCTGAATCCAAATCCCGAAACAAATTGAATTTCGGACTCGAATCCCGGAAAACTAAATAACGCAAATTCGGAATCGAAACAAAACAATTTTTTTGCCAGTGCACATGTCTCCTGCTCACTTACTTCTAGGTGTAGGAACAGAGGAAGCTGAGCTGCTAAATAACAGCTGGGAGAGGGAGCAGGGGCATATGCTTTATAGGACAGCGAGAGAAATCTGTATGTTTGTAAGGAAAAAAAATAATGTGATTTTACTTACAGAGCTCTACAAAAGGATGTTTTATATTCTAAGAGTTTTGTGCCACAAATTACAAACTGGTTTGGTGCCAACTATTTTTTTGTGGAAAGTGGAGTTTTCTCTTCAGTGTTTGTTGTGTGAAGAAGACTTGAAGGAAAGTTTATATCAGCACAAAGTCAACACTTTATTTGTGCAATGAGCTGCAATACAGGAAGTAAAAAACAATTCACATATTACCTTTGGAGTGAAAGAAGACAATCTCTTCCGGAGTCTTTAGAGCTCCGTGTTCTATAGTGACTTTAAAATATTTGTCTGTTAGTTTCATGATAACAAATGTCCCCGCAGTCACAAGTGTGTTGGTGAGACTGAAGCTCCCGTCATTGCTCCTTGTTTGATTATTCTGGATGGATTTCTCCTCAATCCTTGTATATGGACCAGATTGCTTGTCTGCTTTTCCCCAGGTCACCTTAATATCTTGTGTAGAGAAGCTGTCGATCTCCAGGACAATATTTTTACCATTCTGGAGAATCTTCCTTACAACAGGTTTTCCTGCAATGTTTAAATATTCAATCATTTATCATTCGGAAATAGATGTTATTATTCTGACACTCAAAGATAAAGTCAACATGAAAGATAAAATATGATACCAGTATTACTTCAACAAATCCTAAATGCTGCAGAAAGTGACACAACTCTCTACAGAATTCCAATGTCAATCGAAAGCAAAATAGAGACTTGACACCGGTGCTCACAGGAAGAGGAGCATTGAGTGGAGTGGAGAATATTATTTTTTTGGGTGATAGGATTGGGCTTCAATATGCAGACAAGGTTTATAAATTTCAGCTTGAGCTACTTAGGAGGTCCCACAAAACATGTGAAAGGCTATCTAGAGCCCTACCCGCTGGCTGAAAAAAAGAATATGAAATAATATTTTTATTTAATCGAACCACAAGTGGTGTTTTTTGTACCTTTGTTGTTTCCTTTTAAATATTGTAGTTTTCTTGAGGGTGTGGTATCATTCATAGAGAGTCTATTGAAGTGATCCAAGAATCTATTTCTTATCCAGTCCCAATCTAGTAGGAAGCACGCCAGAGGTCTACATGTCTTACTTCCATTATAATTCCAAATAATAAAGGGTTTCCTCTTATTAGGATACTGCACAAACAGATACAACATAATATTGTGGAAGCCATTTATTTAGAACTGTCTGGTTACACTTTCCAGTTGTCCTACTCTAGAGGAGCCATGGTGTCCATACATTGCATTGATAATGGCCAACAAGCCTGCAATGGCTGCGTGAAGTTTGGAATAAATGGCTCTATAATATGAGGCTTTTTCTTTGTTGTCTGCACCCAGTGCTGGATGTACAGTTTAGCCACATTGTGATGGAAGTGAGACTTTTGGTTACTTCTTTTTTTAAGAAGGATCTGATGTGCTTCCCATTGGAGCTATGCTTCCAGAACCTTGTGTTTTAAGAGGGTTGCACAAAGTAATAAACAATTGGCAAGACCCAACACATGTCATACTAGTATACTTGCCTTTCACTGTGAGCTCCCCCGTCCTCTTCTCCAGGGGTGTCTCCAGACTGGGGTGTGTCACCTGGCAGATGAATTCTGCCCTTTGCTCTGTTATGGCTGAAACTGATACGATGAGACTGGCGGTACATGTGTAAGTCTTATCGGGCTCCTGTGTCATCTCCAATATTGGAATCTTATATTTATCACTGGAAGATAGTTCATATAGCTCCGGCTTTTCTGCTTCTCTGCGTAACCATCTCACCTCCAGATTTTTAAGGAAATACCCCCGGATCTCACACTGCATCCTGGCCTCTGTGCCATGTACTAAAGATGGGACTATTATGTCTCCCATCACTGGACGCCAGGGAAGGTCTGTAAAAAGAAAATGGCAATAACTTAGTGTTTTAGAATTCAGAATTTGTATTCTACATTATCAACCTATACAGTGTTACAAAGTAGAATCCAATGGTTTCAGTGATATTACCCTTTGCAGACACTTCCCAACTGTCTGGCTGGTCCAGAGACATATGTGTCCACATCACTCGTACTCTGAATCCCGGATCCTGGAAGAGATGACTGGGAACTTGACATTCACTCCCACAGATAAATGTATCTTCTGAACTATTTATAAATGTTTTAACATTGTTTAGTTCCTGGTAATTACCAACTCCACAGCTCCATTTTATCTGCATATCTTTAGGATAGAACTTCTCCAGAGCCACAGAACACACAACATCTCCGGAGTTATCCAGGGAGAATTTCATCGGGGCTGAGAGACGAGGTATTGCTGGGGAAAAATACACCACAATTAGCAGAAACTATACCAATCTAATGGCCTGATGAACACTAGTATTCTTTATAATTGTATATTGATCTGCTTAACAAAATGCATTTGTTGTAACTTAAAGGAGAACTATGAGGTGAGTGATTTTCACTCACCCTCATAGGTCAAGCCGACCTGTGACAATGAGACTGTCACAGGTCGGCTCAATAGATTAGGAAGTGAGAGAACACATACCGTTGCTCGCTCACTTCTTGATCATGTTCCTGCAGAGAGCCGTGTCTGTCACTCACAACTCCCTGCAGGGATTCCCCCCCCCTTCCCGCTCTGATCCTCCAGTGCTGACTGGCGGAACGGACGGGGGAGGGGGCGGGTACAGCTGGCTCTGCCTCTAGATAGGCAGAGCCAGCTGTCAATCACGCAGCTGGGTGGATCTCGACAGTAATGTCGGGATCTGTCCCGGCTGCGGCGGTCTCAGTATACCGTGAGCTGTAGCTCGCGCTATACCGAGCTTTGGTTGATGGGAGGGCACTAGTTCTAGTTTATGTCCTCCCGTGACCCTTAGAAAAACCACTGACCCCATAGTTCTCCTTTAAAGCTGAACTCAAGGCATATAGATACATAGACACAGAAATCTCTCCAGCAAGAAAACAGACAGGTATATAAAAAGACGGATGTTCTTACCTTTACCAACTTATCCAAAACCAAAAAAAAAAGAATGTTTTGGCTAATAGAAAAATAAGGCATTGGCATGGCCAAACGTGAGAAGTGACATACCAGGTAGCAAGAAAACCTTGCCACAAACTTGTGGCAGGGTTAAATTGTAATTCTTGTTAACTTGCTGCACACATTCCTGGCAGGTTGTAGACTTGCAGAACACTCGCAGCACAAGTTCTAGGTGACACTTTTTGAATTTGTAGCAAATTTGCTTGGCAAGTTTACAGCAAGAGTCCTGCAGGTCTTAGCAAGAGCCCTGCAAGTGTTCAGCACTTTAGCAAAGCATGTTGATCTGGAGACTTGCTGTAATTCTGTAACTAAATTGTGAAGCTCGGCAAGTCTGCAATAGTTTAGCAAGTCATTTTCAAACTTGCAGCTCAATTGCTTGCTATCTGGGATTCTCATTGTCATAAAGCAGCATCATTTTCACATCTAATATCATTGCCTTGGAAGCTTTCTGAGATGTAACACAAATTGAACACAAAATTCTGTGGTCATAAAAGATGGCACAGTAAAAAACAAAAATTGGTAGGTTCCTGAAATATTTGCAGCTATGTCATGTCTACATACACTCCAGTGAAGGCTGCATAGCATTTGTCAGGGCAGGATTACTGATGGTGCAACAATGGACCATATCTGCATATGTGTTGAAATGCCCCTTGTAGTCTCCATCGGAAACCCGCATCACAGGGTAACAATGCAGGAGCACAATTGAAGGACAGGGACAGAGAGGTGTCACCCTATACCAGGAAGTGCCTCAACAAGGCCCTTCATGGCAGGATCAGCAGAGATTTTTTAATTAAAATCCACAGATTTAAAATATTGTAATAAACATTTGAAATTACAGTAGTGATTGGGATGTTTTACTATTGCATAACCTGAATAATTGTGGGTCCCCAATATCTGCCTACCGATCCGATTTCATTTCTTCTGTAGCATTGGATGAATATGTCTACTCAGATTTGGGATATTTACTTTGGTGTTCAGTAGGGATGAGCTCAGGTTCGGATTGAGTTTTGGTACAAACCTGAGCTCATCCTTAGTTTTCAGTAGTGATTTACAGGCCCTTTAAGTTTACACTGACTACCAATCATGACAAACAAGAGTTTTCTATCTTCATTAGCTTTTGTTAAACAGTTCAGTTACTGAGAACAATTCTGTTGTATAATGCTCATAAATAAATAATAATACATGTATCAGACATCATATGTATAATAATATAATGAATGTGTTTCTTACAAAAGTTAAGTCTCCATTCCTTGTGTTTCTCTTTGGTTTTATTACCAGATTGGAAGCGGCAGGTGACTTTCGTATTACGGTCTTTTGATACTATCGGTGTGAAGGTGAGTGATGTAATGGCGTTGTATAATCTGTCTGTCTCTGATTGGTCGGTTTTCACTGTGTAATCTCTGGTCAGCAACTGGCCACGTTCTCCATTGGTCTGTGTCTGCTGATTTGTTACCTTTACCTTCTCTCCATTGCCCTCTACCACAATCCAAGTGACCTGGATTTCCTTTGGGCAGTTGGAGGCCGTACAACACATGGTCACCTTCTCATCTGTATTCTCATTCCATCTGCCTGGGATGTGTATGGGGCTCAGCTGGAACCGCTGGAAATCTATGGAACAAGGTGGACATTGTAGGATAAAGCACAGTCAGTTTTTCCATCACACAGGTTGAACTCGATGGACATGTGTCTTTTTTTAACCTGACTAACTATGTAACAGTAATAATGACCATCATCGGCCATATTTGAAACACTGGATAACACTTTGTGAGTTGTAACAATGCATGTTGCAATCTCTTACCACTACGCTCACCTTCTTTAGATGCATCAACACAGCTGGAGCAATACACTGGACAATCCTATAAAAGCTATGGGCCAAGCTTGTACTGCATTCATTGGGCCTATAGACAGAGTGGGAAAGGGTTAGCACCTCTGTTTGTTGACTGTGTTAGGGAGACTTCTTGATTTGTACTTCATGTCCCTGAGGCACCTATTTCCAGAGTGCAACCAGAGGTCCTAACACTTTTACACTATGCCCAAAATATAATAATATTGGGGCGGGCTGGGGATATGGCTGGAAGGGAGCTCTATCCATGCATGCATTGCTTACAGCTCCCTTGCATGCCATGTAGAGGTGCCTGGACCGGAGTGACATCATATTCTGGCTCCTGGCATCTCTAGAGGGCATACAAGGGAGCTGTACAAGGAATGCACATATGGATGGAACTCCGTCACCCAGCAGCCCACACTGGACCCTAGGCTGAAGGCCCACTGTACCATGCAATCACACCTACCACGTGTTGTGGTGCGGGAGGTGTATTGCGTTGCTATTCATTTGAATGGCACCTCAAACGCACCTCCCACCCACAGTTGGAGCACCCGCACCGGAACGCGTAGTAGTGCAATGCCATGCATGCCAGTGCAGTGCAACTTGTGTCCCAACCTAATGACCAAGGGCAGATGTGGGTCCTGAGGTTACACAGGTTGAGAACCACTGATCTAGATGACTCTTTACAATGTAAAGAATAATACTTCAAAATGTACTTCACTCACAATTTTTCTTGTTTTTGAAATAGAGAATCGACAACGCCGCCAAAATCCCGACTGTTACTAGCGTTACCAGCACCGATATGGCTGCAATCAGGACCGTTTTTTCAGAGTCTTTCCCATCTGGAAAAAGTATATTGTATAGAATAAGGCAAAATATAGAGAGATAACTGTGTCCATTATTTCACCTAATCATATTGTTCGATTTAAAACATTCAGTTCACATGCAAATCTATTCTATAGGTCAGGAACTTATTTTTTGGCATAAAATACTAGAAATATTTTTGGGAGTTAAATCCCATTCAGTCAAAGTCAGTTACTTTTACATACAAAATATCCCCAAACATCAATATTGTAATAACAAAGAATCATTTCCAGACAGGTGAATGCAGTTTTGTAATCACTGTCCAGTCACAGGCTGGAAGCATGGACAAGACCTGTACCTGGAACTCCAGGAATTATCTCTTATGGTCCAGCTTGGCTCAATGTAAACATCAATATCTGATCTCCAGAGTGTACTGGGAAGTCTGAAAATCACTGTGGTAGTCCATGATACATACAGTCAGCACTGGTCTTTTTGTGGATATGGCTCCAGCGGCTTCTCCTCTACACGCTGAGCACAGGGAGTGGCTCGCTGGGCAGGACCACCATTCAGGGAATGCCCTGCTTCCTCTTCATGAAGTGGAGAGGCAGATGAGATAACAAGCTCCAGCTCCTCCAGTCACGGGATGCCTTGTATTAATTTCGATAAATACAAGGTGTCCTGTGAATGGGGGCAGTGCCAAGCAAGGGACCCCATGTGCTCAGTGCGCAGAGGGGAAGCCGCTGCAGTCAAACCTGGATGATCACGTATCACTGTATTCAACTACCACCAACTACTACAGAGATTTTCATCATCCCCAATGGCTTTCCGGATATCAGATATGGATACTATAAGCCAAGCTGGACCAATGCAACTTTCCATAAATGATCTTTCCTGCTTATAATTGCATTATAGAAAAATCAGGTCTTCTGCCCTGCCAGACAGGGTTTTAAAATGTGGCAGAGCTGTGTAAAGCTTGGATTTGGGTGGGCAGTAATGCAAATCCTTTGGCAGGTAAAATAGTTCTCATATATGTATTCCAGATGTGTATTTGGCCATTTGCCCGGAGTTTAGCTTCAATGAACTGACTATATGTGTTAAGTCAGCTGTATAACAGTATATTCTGTGGCTCGAGATTTTACCTGCTACTGCTAAAGTCTTCATCAGTGGACTATCCAACATCTCGTGTTCCACCACACAGGAGATATTTCTTCCCGTCTTCTGGTCTCCAGTTATCAGGACATGGTCCCATTTATTGTAGGTTCCATCTGCATTCCTCCCGGAAGACTCTGTTCTTTTCCCATCAAGTAACCAAGTAATTATCACATCCTCAGGATAAAACTCCTTTACCTCACACACAAATATCTCCTTATGGCCATCAGAGGATGAGAACAATGTGATCTCAGGCTCCGCTATACAAAAGCAGAAAAGTAAACAGTTACTTTTAATGGTAATTTGGCATTTTAATTTAAATTTAATTTAGAAATGTTAATAAGAATTTGTCATTTCTAAGATGTCTCTTTATAATTGTAGCAATATTGGTTCTGCCTTTTATTGAATATTGAGCTTTGGTAGGATTCAGCGCTTTCTTCTTCTACTTCACGCTCTGGGGTAAGGGTGGTCCCTCAGCGCCATCATATACAATGCAGAGCTATTAACCCTGCAGTGTAAGGGAAGTGGTTTGGTGTGTGACCGCAACTGGGAACGTCCTAGAGAGGAGGCTTTGCAAGAGTGGTTGCATGGATGAAGAGAGCCTGCCGGAGTAAGGTAAGTATTATTACTTATCCCTGAACCCCTAAATTTAATGAGCAGTTGACCCTTGAACTCCTAAATCTAAAAGCTAGTTGACCCTTTCAGTGCAGGGGGGACTGCTACAAGGGGTCTTTATGTCTTGTGGCCAGACTTGGTCTTGGCCACCTGAACTGATATTGACCATCTTGTTGGTTGCATAGGAACTTTGCTGCCACTTGGAGAGTCGGCCCACAACTTTCCTTTTGAATTATAAATACTCTCACCATAATTCTAAAT